CGTGCATGAAAGAAAGCGGACAAACTGATAAATTTAAACAATCTATCGCTTTAGATGAAGACCCCTATTAAGATTTATGTAGTGCAATCGATAGTTCGTCGATTGTTCTTTACTGTTCCATTTTTAACGTTTGTTTGTTTATACCATATTCTGACCGATATCGAAAACATGTTTTCGTTGCTAAAACTGGTTTTCGACTTAAAACTCGTGTTTTCGTCCATGTAAAATCTATCAAACGAAAACCAGTTTTCGCTGAAAACTACTTGAAAACTCACGTTCCACTCATTCCAATCGGTGTCTTCACTAGTTTTTTTTTCGATTATTTATCGAAGTGAAAGTCATATTTTATCATCTTTAATACGCCATTTCGGATTTATTTTTAATTGGCTGGCAAAAGTAAAATAAGAATGAAAGTAAGAGGTTGCTAATGAAAAGAAAATGAGGGAGAAGCATTTTGGTTTTGTTTTTGTGTAGCAAAACTGTAATCAGAGGATGTAAGAAATGTCAATGAAAACACTAACAGCCGGTGTGAACAGCCTTCAGCCCACACTCCCAAAACACGTTTTCAAAGTGTTTTCGTTGTCGGTCAGACCATGGTATAATGGACTTCTTGCGAAAACATCGATGTTTATTCTAAACAGCTCATATAAAGACATCGATTCATCGATATTTCTTTCCATCGATTAAGGGTGGGTAACTCTGTAAATTTTCGTGTGCTGACTCAGTAACTCCAACTCATTTTAATGAGTCAGCACAGTGAGCTGGCACAAGTGTGCTATCGCACAATTGGTATGTACATCGAAATTATTGATGATGTTAGTAATCGAAATCGATTTAGAAAAGGTTATCCTTAGCTTCTGTTCGTAGCTGGCCGGAAAAATTTTACAAAGCTGATTTCAACTGGTGATCCTACTTAGTTTTGCTGGAGAGTTGTCACATAAGAATCTGTTAAATGGGCTATGCATGTAAGCGGTTACCCAACGCATAGCACTTCACATGTAGAATTCTGTTTGATTTTGATTTTTACGTTAAAATGGTATAGCAGTGCAAGTATGCATAACTTGGCTATTCGCCTTGCTTCTTTTTAAATTTGGTAGTCGTATATTCAATTGATGGTTAGTCTAGTGATGCCATCTATTATGGTACTCTTTGGAAGATCGTATTGTGTGAATGTGTGAGCTCATCAATTGAGTTACCACATAGACACAGTTCTAAACAATGCAAGCCGCACCGAGCTATGCAGGTGTCAGCACATCAACTGAGTTACCGTATCGACTCTGTAGCACACTGAGCTATACATTGTTAGCACATAAACTGAGTTACTGAGTTACAAATTTTTTCAGAGGTGAGTCTGAGCGTGCGGCACAGTTCTAAGAGTCAGCACAGTAACTCAGCACAGTGCTGAGTTACCCACGTCTACCATCGATGTTTCTCCAGCTCTAATAATTATGACATTTCCTTTTTTATAAATTTTAGCAGAATTTTCGTAACAAATTAGATATAATTAAGTTTTTATATGGTGAAAACTAATGATGAAATAATAAAAGGTGTTATTGCATCATGCTGAAAATTAAACTGGATTTGGACGCGCCGACAACGGTATGCCGCATCTGTCTTCAAAGCGGAGAAGAAATGACATCTATCTTCGACAAGGATGCAGATTCTGTGTATCTATACAAAAAAATCGAGAGTTGTGGAGGCATAAAGGTAATTAAACCTATAATTAATTCTAGATAATTACTATGCCAGGCCAATAAATAATAAAGACCAAATTTAATAAAATAACGATGAGTTTGGTGTGAAATATAAATATTATATTTTCATGTTTATGAAATATGTAGATAAACTTTAATTTACAATGACGTATGTATTTAAAACACGAAATTACCCAACAGATCCTTACCGAGCCGAAACTTCCTACAAATATATGCAAGAAGTGCAATGCTTTCCTAATAATTGCTCACAAATTTCGAATTATATGCAAAAATTCCGACGATTATTTACGAAAATTTGTCTGCAAATCCTCTAATCCCAACAAAAATGAAGAAAACCAGCCCCAATATATCCAGGAATACAGTGAAAAAACAGAAGTACTAAATGCTGAAGAACCCCCCGTAAATGAGTCACAACCTGATATTAAATATGAAGAGGAAATTTACTTAGAAACGCCCATGCTTGATGAAGGAGTGGATGACAGTTTAATTATCGAAGATTATGGCGATAGTTCACAAGAATCGCAGGATCGACTGCAACCGTCGCCCACTACCAGAACACCAAAAAAAGTAAAAAAGGTAAAACTAGCAGAGACAAAGAAAATCAAGAAAGAGAAACGGATTCATATATGTGAAATCTGCGGTAATATATATCCCCGAAATCATGAGCTTCAGGTGCATATGAGGCGTCACCGAAATGAGCGCATCTACGAATGCGAGTAAGTCAAGTTGAGAACTCAGCTGTATAGGTACGTTGATTTAGAGAAATCCTATTCAAGTTTTACCAACTTATAGAATTTGTGGTAATTCGTTTCATCTTAAATGTGTATTGGCACGACATATACGCACACATACTGGAGAGCGACCATTCGCGTGTCGATATTGCGATCGTAAATTTGCTTCTCGTTCCAATAGGATTGATCATGAGAGGTAAAATTCATTCAAAAAAACTACAGGAATCTTAATTGCATTTTAATTTAGAGTGCACCGAAATGAGCGGCCTTACAATTGCGATATCTGTGGCAAAAATTTCACGTATTCAGGGGTTTTAAAAGCGCATATGCTAACACACACTGGAGAAAAACCATTTAGGTATGTATTAGAAAGTTTTCATCGGTAGTTTTGGGTAGGCATCCACTTTAAATTTTTAAATAGTTGCGGCATTTGTGGTAAACGCTTTACACGGGGTCACCATCTTCGGGCGCACCTGGAAACACTACAACATCAAAATGATCCCCGTTCCAAAGTGCTTATTAAGCAAATTAAGCGGCAAGAAGAATTAAACACTGTATAAAAATGTAATACAATTTCCTTTGATATACAAGCATATTTTTGCTAATTTGGAATTTGACTGCCCGGAAAATTATTTAGAAGCAGTAAGCTAAATAATTAGTTAAGGAAGCATCCATTTATTTCCTCAATAAACTTTATCATAAAAAAATAACAGTAATTTGCTATTGGCTGCATTTTCAATTTAATGTAAACGCCTACATACATGTAGCGTAATTTGTAAAAGGAGATTAGTCAAGTTCAAACACAGGAGAAATACGCTAGGATTGAAAATAGTAACAATTTACTTAAGACGTTATATTTTAGAAATCCATGAAACCAAATCAAATAAATATCCCAAGTGGTTTATTTATTAACTAAAAATTAAATAACAAAATATACCCAATAGTTTAGTTGTCTATTAGGTGCTGATTAAAATTTAAGTATAGTCAGTAGAATAATCATGAAGATTGGAAGGTCGAAATCATTAACATTTTTCCATTCAAAAGTTTTTGTAAATTAAAATAATTGCATTTTTTTTCTATATTTTAACTCCCAATCTTTTTTTTATGTAGTAGATGATTTGTTCTCTTATTTAAAACGCAATGTTTTCCTTTAAAATTTCTCAATTCACTGTTGTTTTTCGTATATATGTATGTGGTATTTTTGTTTTATTTGCACAGCAAAAAGAACACTGTTGTAACGGGTAGCAACCATGACAAGCTATTTACTTGCTCAACATACGCATTTTATCTTTGATCAAATTTCGGAGTTCTGTAACCATAAGCTCATGTGATTCTTTGAAGATTGATGCCACGTCGCCTATGAGCGTTGCTTCTACTTCTGGCTTCAGTGACATGTCCGCCATAAAGGAATTCAGCTCCCGCGGCAGCATTGGGGTCTTCCAATTAGCTTTAAGAAGAAAGAAGTCAAGAATTTACTTTTTTTAATATTTACTTTAATCAGATCACTTACTAATGGCAGTTTCGCAGTTTTGAAATTGCTTTTTTTAAATGACGCATCAACTCAACAACTAACTGGCTACGTTCTTTTTCATGAATTACATTCACATCGCTATTTTCCTGCCCCGGTCTTTTCCGTGGCTTGCTCTTTCCTGGTTGTTGCAACTTTTCATAGATCATCGACAGAAGAAAAGCGAACAGAGACAGTATCTGAATGCAAATGAATAAAAAAAAATAGTCACATAGTATATTTATCCAGCTATTTCTATTAGCGAGCTTATACCTCTACACAGGCTGCGACCTTGTTTTGCCATTCACGTCTCCGCCAAAGGCCATCCATCGCTGCGTCACTCTCCGATATGACTTGTGTGCAAAGTTGCACAATTTTAGTCGCGTTGTCACTAACTATTTTGCATTGTATAGGCAGATTGGCGGCTCCGGTGTACAGATCCAGAATAAGCTGCGCCACCGAACTAAAGAACTCTTCATACGGCACTTCAAGCAACAGATGCAATCGGGTCGGCAGCAGATTGACTAGATAACGATTCGACAATGGTTTGTAGCTCATGAGACGCAGACGCTGAAATAGACCAGACCATGACTCGCGCAGCAGCTCGATCGTGTCAGTTTCTCTAATGGTTTCCACATCGTTTGTTATGTTATTTTGATTGTTACTATTGCTATTAGCGGTTTTTTGATTACCCTTTGCCGAATTTGTTACATCCAAGTTCGTCTTCTGATAGAAAATGTCTACAAACGATGCCACTAGCCGCAGCAGTAGTTGACGTATTTGTAGCACTTCCACTTCCTGGTCGAAGGACTCCTTGCGATCTTCCTCTACGTTAACCAAATGCACGGGGTCCCAGCGTATCAATGCGCCCAAATCGCGATTGTCGGAAAGTTCATGCCATGAAATGCGATCGTCGGCAGGTTCAATGCTCATCGCAGTGTATGTTGCTAGATTCTGTCGCACATTGCCATATAGCATAACAAGATCACACAGTTGCGCCTCTATAGAGGTGCTCACATAATGAATGCTATTGGTAAGACGCTCTTTAAAGTTCATAAACTCTTCCAATTTGGAAAAGGTACAGAAACGATATGTCAATGTTATGTATTCCAAGCGCTCCTTATAGCTGTTGGTGAAAAACTTTAAGGTGGCGTCAAAAACGGTGCGTGCCATGGAGAATCGGCCGCTCAGTGGCAATAAATTGCAATGGATATAGCTCATTGAGTCAAGTTGTATCTGCTTAATGTCCAAGTAATCGTACATTTCTTGTGCACCCAACATACAGCCGAACATGTGATAAATCTTTAAACTAAGCAGTTTCACATGGAAATTGCTTGTGCTATTACGAAGCACATATTGTAGCAGGCAAAGAGCCTCAAAGATCCGGTCTGATTTTTCTTCTCTTAAACTAACATCGTACATGACATTTGCGGCCAACAGCGCGTATGGGTCGGATGGACCCATATCGGTATGCAGCAAGTTCTTTCCGAAAGAACTCAATCCATGCTCATAGTGTAATTTCAGAGCGGTATAAAAAGCTAGCAAGTGATCTGTTTGCAAGTCTAGATGTGAACCACAAATGCGTGAAATCTGTAAAGCACATATGTGCTTTTGCATTTGTTCTTTCTGAAATACATCACATTATAATCTATACCAATTGAAAATATAAAATACTTCGGACTTACATTCTGTGGCAAAGTCGTGGAACTAATGCCACTTTCCAGCAGTAGTTTAGTAGCTACGTGCTGTCGCGCCTCCATGCTGATGGAGGGCAAGAAGAGCGCAATGTCGTGTGTGCAGCATGGCTTATCGCCAAATAAACGGAAATATTCAATGATTAGCTCAGCAAAATCACCAAGCAGAGCTTCTGCATCCATGCCTTCTGCGCGCATGCGCTTATGGAGCTCCAGGCGTGCAAGATATGGACCACGTACTTTGCGCTCAGCGGACTCAATCATCTAAAGAATTATATTTAATAAACATAAATAGTTAAAAGGTGCGAAATTAGCAAACCTGGCATAGAAAATCGTGGCACTCGTCTAATGTATTTAGTCCACCTGTTTCCTTTTGGTCATCTGTTTTCTCCTCCGGCGAATCTAGTGAATTTTCCTTTTGCAATTCAAAACAGCTTCCTAAGTAGTCCTGATAGTAGTCCCAACGGTCACGTCTTGCAAAAAAATATGTTAAACCATACAATTTTGAATCAAAAGATGGTGGTAATAAGTAGTTTATCAACCTAAGGCTAAAAACATAGTGAAGCGGCGAGCAAAGCGACGAGCTAGCATCGAGCAAAGCTCTAGGCTTTGCTCTTCAATATGCGCGCTCCCATTGAAACATATACGTTTGTAATCGACGCTTTGCTCGATGCTCTTTGGTTACCGCTCCACTATGTTTTTAGCACATACTTAGACATATCGGACATCTGCTCCAAGAGTCTCATAATCCAAAAAATCAGAAACTCGAGAAAAGCGGCTTTTAAGTTTTGAATATGTAGTAAAAGTGAATACATACCCAATAAACATGTGGTGAACGTTCGAAAATGACCTTCGATATCCAATATGAATATCGAAATGACAACGAACTCATAACTAACCTTAAGTTTTCCAGCGTTTATAGTATATTGCAAATACACTCGAAATGGGTCGAAAAAAATGAGATCCATAGTAAAAAGATATAAAGTGAAATCCAGCTCATTTTCGAAGGGGTAATAAGACAATCACTCTCCTCATTAAAATTTCAATGGGCTGGATTTCGAATTAATAACGAAGGGAAAATGCATTCGATAGCGAAGGTTCCCTTTTGCTGAAGAATGACCTAGTTCTCGGATCGAATACCATCCATTTCCAAATTCGTTATCGAAGGTGAGACTTAAAAAAAATGTTAGTTTTCAAATCATTTTCGAATTGTTAACCAAGCTTAATGTTTATTGGGTATTTTGTTCTAATAAGCTATTGATAATCAGTCTAGCTATGAAATTTTTACAAAACTTAGAAGAACAGATAACGGGCGTTCCCACGACAGTCGGGTCTACGTAACCGGAACGATCCAGATTTAAATCTGGCCAAGAACTAACTGTCACTCCAGCCACACTCCCCAAAAACACTTAGGGAATTTGTATGCTGTTACAACGACATCAGGTAGCGGGCATTTCCGCATACTTGCAGAAAATGTGCGATATGTACATCTGTATAGAGTTATTTACGAAATATTCCAATTTTTATCTTCACTTACTCATCATTCAATAAATCTTTAAGCAGCGTATTTGTCTCTTGCCACATTTTTAACTGTTTTAGCAAATCAATTTTCATATAGACGGGAGCTCCCGGATACAATTTTTCACAAAGCGCGCCGTTAAGGAATTCCAATGCCTCTTTAAACTTTGCTTGTAACTTTAAAATATGCAAATAAAGATAAACTTCTTGTTCCGACTCGAGTTTGTTTTCATTGATCATTTTTTCAACCATGCGCTGCGCGAGTGCTAAATAAATTTTGGTTTTTTCAGGAAACTTGCTTTCTGGGCCACGTATTCCCTGCAAATAAGCATATATGTATGCATGTAATTAAAAAGAAAAGGCCACAGAATTCTATATTTATACACATAAAAAATATTTTGTGTACCTGTAGAACAACGCTCATCACGGCCCAAAAATAATACGCGGTCTTTGGCTGTGCTTTATACAGTTGCAGCGCAACCGATTGCTGCGATTTGAAATCCTCCAGACGTACATGGGATATAAAGAGGTGGGCCAGAAGTTCCTCATTGCCGGGCGATTGTTTTACGGCATTATTATACAAATATACAATTTTGTCCACTGCAAAGGATAATGTTCGCTTTTAAAAATAATTCTATAAATAACGTGTCAATTAAATACTTGTAAATAATAATGCTTGGTGTCTGAATATTAAAACGTTTTTAATAAATTATATCTAGGTGCTATGCTGGCGTGTGCCACAGCAACGACTACTACGAGTACATACATATGTATACATGCGCCCACATGCTTTTGTGCATAAGCGGACGCCAAAATTTTAGACTTAATGAGTGCACAAAATTTTCGCAGACAACTAATTGCTGTGTGCTACAATCACAAAGGATGGTTTCCTTAGTTTTAGGTAGAAATGCAATATGAAAATTCAGACTAGACAGTATGCAACGGATCGAGAATACCCCTATACTAATACACAGGAGGCCAGATTTTCAGTGCACGG